GGGGGGGGGGGGGGGAGATGGTGCTGAGCCGATGCCACCTGCGGACAGCTGGGAAGGGGGTGCCAGCAGCCTGCCCCTTACAGAGACGCGATGCCCAACCTGCTCAGGACAAGGGGCTGGCTGCAGCCGGATCCGCAGGGTGCATCATCGCCATCACCCCCTGCATCTCAAGTCTCAGCCCAATTCCCTCACACCCTGGACCTGACACCCACCTCCCGGGGCCCTGCCCCACAGCCCCCCACCTACCCAAGGACAGGGAGCGGGGGCTGGGCGCCTCCTGTCATTCCAATTTCATAAGCTCCACGTCGAAGATTAGGGTGGCGTTGGGCGGGATGATGCCGGGGTGGCCGGTGGAGCCGTAGGCGTAGTCCGGAGAGATGATCATCTTCGCTCGCTGGCCCACGCTCATCTGCGGGAGACACAGACCACAGCTGGGCGGAGGCAGCGCGGGGAGACGGCACGCCACAGCCTGAGCCCGGCTGCTCCTGCCAACCGGGACCCGCCTTGCGGAGCAGCCTCCAGCACCGGGCAGAGCCCGCGTGCGGGGCCAGGCTTCGGGGCAGCGCTCCAGCACGCAGCTGGCACCGCCTGCCCTGCTGCGCCAGGCCGCGCTCAGCCCACGCGCCCTCTGGGGCAGGTGCTTTGGGCACCAGGCTGAGCACAGCAGGGCCCGTGCCCACAACGCTCGGCAGTGGTGCAAGCAAACACCAAGCAGAGAACCGCAGCAGCACCAGCCGGGGACACGACAGACGGCCGAGCTGCGGGAGACGCTGGAGGAAGTGGCTGTCCCCCCAGACACAGGGCAGCCAGTCCCTGGGAGTGACCAGCTGGTCACACAGCGGGGTTTTCCAAGTCTCCACGTCTGCGTCAGGTATGTGTGATTAGGGATAATTAACAGCTAGTTAATTAGTTGAACCCCTGCCATGCTGCGCCTTGTCCCAGGCTGTCCCTGCAAACATGGGTGTGTTCCCACGCACCCAGATGCCACCTTCTTGCCAAGGACTCGGGAAAAGGGGTGGCACTGGGGACAGCCGCCCTGTAGCTCTGTCAAGGCCCCTCTGCCTCGACCCAAGCGGGCACCTCCTCGCTCAGCAGCAGCGTGCCCAGGACCCTGGCAAGGAGCAACGCATTAATGTTCCCACCCCGGGCACCATAGCCCCAAGCCAAACTCTCCAGGGACTCAGCCCACCTTCCTGTCCAACAGCCTCAGACCCTGTGAACCTGGTACCAGGCTTCTCGCCTCTGCAGGACGCTGGCACATGCCAGGGAGAGGGCAGGAACCGCAATTCCAGTTCCAGCCCCTCCCTGGCACGCAGCGCGGGCACCGGAGACTGCAAGCCTCTTTTCTCGGAGAGAGCACCCAGCCCGCAAGAGCCCAGCGCAGCGTGGCACCCAGTGGGGCCTCAGAGATGCTCCCCGGCTCATGACACCCTTCACCCTACATGCACACGCATGTGCACACAGGGAAACCAGGCCCTCTGCAGTCATGAGGGGCAGGGCGGAGCAACCTCCTCGTCCTCCCAAATCCAAGGGGCATCTGAGCACGGACTCCAGCAACCCACGCTGGGCTTCGGCCAGATCCCAGCCAGCGCCTGCCTCACCGAGGGTGCCTGGGCCGCACGCTCCCAGGGAATGGGAGTCAGCCGCCTCTGCCCCTCGCCGGGACGCTGACTCCAAAGCGAGCGTCGTGGCTGAGTCACGGCCCGTGGGCGTCCCTCCGAGGCGCGCCGGCAGGTGGCGAGGCAGCAGGTGACATTTCCTCCCCCACTCCCACCGCGGAGGTGGCGAGGACAGCGCAAGAACAGCGCGTGCTGCCAGCGCGAATCTCTCCCCCACGGGGAGGGGGGCAGAGCCACGCACCTGGGCGACCCCTTCTTCCCAGCCGCGGATCACCTCCTGCTTGCCCATCACGAACTTGAATGGCTTGTTCCTGTCACGAGAGGAGTCGAACTTCTTCCCGTCCTCCAGCATACCTGGGGAGAGGACAGACGTCAGCGGGGACGGGGGACACGCGTGCATGCACACACTGAGCCCACAGCCACCGCGTCGCACAGGCCACCGGCTCCGGGCAGCCGATCCCGACACGCTGCATCCAGGCCGGACATCTCAACCAGGCAGAAGTCGACGGACAAGACCAAGGTGGAGAGCAGGGGAGGAAGGACCCTCCCGGCTCTCAAAGGCGCCACAGCCCCAGCCCCTTCCCCAGATCCAAGCCCCGCCGGCCTGCGAGAGCAGCCGGAACCCAACCCCGACAGCCCGGCCGGCAGGAAGTCGTGCTGCACCGAGCTTCCCGGTGCCTGCGCTCCCGAGCCCACGGCAGGGTTTCCACCGTGCACACGACGGCGCAGCGCCGCCCAGCCCCCTCCCCGGCTCCAGCTGCTCTCTGGCTCGGTCAGCGCCAAGGCCTGGCCGACCACCTGCTGCACACATGCATGCTCCAGGGCAGGCCCGTCCCATGCAGCTCAGCCATGCACATGCAGCTCCTTCAGATGCAGCGCGGTGAAGAGCCACGCTGCTAAATATAACCCGGGAGAAGGACCTGCCTCCCGCCCGGGCGGTGCCCTCCCGGGAGCTCCCGTGACCTTCTTGGGGAATCTGGGAGCCTGTGCTGCTGGAGGAGCGCAGTGGGACTTGTGCGCAAGCCAAGTTTCCTTTACAGAAGCAGTGAAGCTAGAAGCCAGCTCTCTTGGGGAGGCAGCTGGGGAAAGGCGGCTTGCTCAGAGCCACCTCCCCATATCCCCCCTACACCCACAGTTACCCAGCACCCCATGCATGCACCAGCCCCATTCAAGGGACAAACTGGGATCCAGGGATCGCTACGCTCTGGCAGTGCGGCCAAGGGCTGCATTGGCTGCTGCAGCACCAGAGCACGCAGGGGACCGGGACCGGGACCGGGACCTGAACTGCAGCTCGTCGCTGCAAAAGGCAGCCCGGTCCCCTGCCAGGTCTCCCTGCCCCAGTAACCCCGGACTGGGCTAACAACGGGTCACTGGAAGGCCAGCCCCCCAGAGCAGGCAATCATTAACGGCAGCGCACATGCTCTGCATTTCCCAGGGGCCTCACAACCCTCCATGCCAACCTGTTTTCAGCCTTGGAAAAAATGAGCTTGCTATCTGGCTGGCAGCGTGGGGTGCAGACGTGCCCCCTTCCTCCTCCTCGGCACAGCCCCCAAGTCACTGCCTGCAGACAGACCGCCCCGCGCCGGGGCCCAGGACCGCGCAGCACAGGAGCCGGTGCGGCTGGGCCGCAACCAAAGAGGAAGCAGGGGAGGGCCCCGGCCCCCACAGCAGAAGGAAGAAGAGAATGGGAGGAAGGGGCCGGGCGGCGTCCATCCCCAGCCAGCGTTGCTCAGAGGCCGGCGTCCCAAACCCGCACGCAGACAGACCATGGCCGGGGAATGGGACTTGTTGCCTGGGGCTCCTGCCAACTGATCTGCTGGAACCGGTCTGTCTGCCTGCTCATACCCCCCGTCACGTGACACCAAAGAAGGGTAACTTTATCCCGCTCCCCTCGGCGGGAAGCTGCCCCGGTGCCAGTGGGATAGGAGCAGACAGATGTGATGCATTTGCACTGGGGTAAGCCTCCTCTTCCCCATCTCTCCGCCTGCACAGAAAGGCCCGTCAGCTCCACGCTCCCAGCAAGGCTCTGCTACCTCCCAGAGGCCACGAAATCAGAGCCCGTCCTCCAACCATGCACAAAGCCGGGCTGCTCTGCAACCTGCCTGGGCCGACCGCCCCCGCCCGGCTCGGTGCAGATGGAGCGACAGGCTGCAGCACGCCGCCACGCCGCGACCCACGATGGAGCCACCTGTAATGGGCACAAGCCCCCTGCTCCACTCCCTCCCCCTGCCTGGGCTCCAAGAGCCAGCCCGAACCCCGGGGCAGCAGGCAGCACGGGGGCATAGAGGGTTGTGCCATAGGGTGTGGATGCCACTTCCCTCTTTTACACGGCAGCACCGCCAATCCAGGCAGGGGAAGCAGCTGGAGAGGAGAAAACCGCCCCTCCCAGTGCTTCTTGCTGCAGCCTGCCCTGTTAGCAAAGCCCTGCGGCCGCCACCACCTCCACCAGGCTGGGACTTGCGGCCCGTTAAGAGGCCGGTGGGTTACAGCCACTGACCAACTGACCTCTCCCCGGCAGCCTGAGCCAACTGGGGTAAAAGCGTCCCAACCGGCAACGGAGAAGCCGAGTCCACAGGGGTCCGGCAGGGGCACGCGCCCCAGCTCCCAGAGCCCAAGCTGAGCCGTGCCTGCATCCCGGTCAGGAGGTGTGAGCTGCAGGATGCTGCCCCGTGCCTGGGTCTGCCTGTCCTCTGGATGAGGCCATGAGCCCTGAAGCGGAGGCATGAACACCGGGTCCCGCTGGTGCCCTGCGACCCATCCCAGAGCAGTGGCAGGCTTCACAGCCTAGCGCCCGGGGGTGGGGAGGAAGCCCTCCTGCTCAGCACCTGGCACATCCCCTCGTGCCGGCTGCCCGTGGGTGCAGAACGAGGCCGATGCATCACACCAGGTGCTCCAGCACCGTCAGGGCCAGTTACAGTATGCCATGCCCGTGACGGACGTCCCGCCGTAACTGCAGACAACTGGGGCGCGCTGGGGCTCACCTGGGGCAACGGCTACTGCGCTAGGCACTGGCTGAGAAAAAAGTGGTCCCTTCCGGGGAGAGGGCACGGTCCAGTCGAAGCGCTGTGCCAAAGGAAACCAACCCCAACCCAACCGTCACCCCTGCCCTCCACCGTCCTCACAGCCCTTCAGCCGAGGCACTGGAGCCCAGGCTGGCCATGCTGAGCTCTACCAACGCCCCGGTCGCCATCTCCAACCGTTTGCTTGCGTTTGGCCCTTCCTTGATACCTGCCAGCCTGGACTGAGCTACTTAACAGTGTCAGCAGAGCCTCCCTCACCCCCACCTCTTCACCCTCTTCCAGAGTGGCAGGGACGGCCCCTAACCTCGGCTGCAGCACGAGCACCCGGCGCTTCCCCCCGCCAACTTACAGCCACGCTCGCAAACCACAGTTTGCTCTCGCTGTTTTCTCACAATTGGTTTCCTGTGCACCAGACGCTTGCCCGCGACCGAGCCCTCTGCATCACCTCTTGCAACAAGGCTGGGTAGCGAAGGACTCCCGGAGAGCCCCAATGCCTTTGACATTGCCAGGAGCGGGGTTTCCTTGTGCAAGCAGGACCACCATCCTGAGCAGCGGGTCTTGGCGTGAGCACAGTGGGTGTGCTTCGCCACAGTAGCACCAGCACTGACGCACACAGCACAGGTTTGTCACTCACGCTCACCCCAGGGCTGATCTGGATTTGCACACGCGCGCACACCCACCCCTTGTTAAAGGCAGGTATGGCGCTGGGGGCCAACTCCAATTCATAGTTGAGCTGGCCCCAGGTCTGGCTCTGAGCAGACTGGTGTCTATGGTGCAAACCGAGATGGGCAGGTACCCAAAAGCAGCCTGGAGGTGGGTCCTGCTGGGACAGGGTGGCGGTGCCGTCTGACCCAGGCCACACAGGCGCCAGGTCAGAGGGCATCCTGCTCTGGGAGGGTCAGGAGCACAAAGGCAGCCCCTGACCTCAGCCGAGCTCAGGGAGGAGGGCTGGGTCAGCTCCCTGGAGGGCAGCATGCCCCTCGACACCGTGAACGCACCGCTGCAAAGGAGCTAGCACAGCCAGGTCTTGCTGCAGCAGCCCCTGCAAAACAGAGCGGACCTCAACAGGGCGACACCGGAGCGATGACCAGCTCAGACCTCGCTCCACTGAGCTGCTTTCCCACCAGCCCAAGAGCTTGCAAGGCCTTCAGGGCACGTGCAGGGCGAGGGAGACTCCAGCAGACCTTCCCGTGCCAAAGAGCTGGACCAAACAGAGCAACTTAACCAAGTTGAACAACGCCGATTGCCAGCAAGCCACGGAAAGAGATGTTAAAAGCAAAGCAGCTCCTGGCACCAAAGAACATGGTGACTTTGGGCTTTGTCTCCTACCCGCGCTCTTGCAGCTCCCTTTGGAGAGCAGTGTGCGCCGAGCTCTGCCTTACGGCTGTCATTTCAGCTGCTCCAGATCGTAGGGAACTTATTCAAGAGCCGTGGGGCCCGGGGAAAGGAGCCGCGCGTGCTGCCAGTGTCGGCAGACGAGATCCCCGGGCCCACTCCGCAGAGCAGACCTTGACTCATCCTGCTCTCACGTGTGCAGGCGCAGCGTGGGGGTTACCGCCAGCCTCGCCGCATGCAGTGAGCCGAGTTTTGCTTTTGCTGCCTCCCTCCACCCCCACAGCTCGCAGCAGGCGGGGGCTCACCCCCCTCAAGAGTCGAGGCAATGCGACACGAGGCACGCGAAAGGACGGAGCACGGCCAAGCTCACCCCCAGCCCCAGCGACCACCCGCTGCTCTGGGGACAGGAAGAAGAGGGTTGAGGTTCATAGCCATCGATGAAGGGAGGGGGAAGGAAGCCCAAACAACACTCCCTCATCTCAGAGAAGGCACCTGTGCTGTCCCAAGGACCGCGGGCGCGCCCAGCGGCGGAGCAGGGGCTCCAGGGCTGGCAGGCAGCGAGGCTGGCCCACCGAGAGCCACTTGACTGCCTGCCAGCCATCCCTTTGTTCTCCCATCAGCAGAGGAAACGGGGCTGTCGGCAGACAGAGCTGCCAGGGGACGGGCCGAGCCGTTTCCTCTCCCCTCCCCGCGCGAGGGCCAAAAGGGCAGCAGGGAAAGGAAGAGAAGCAGATGGATGTCGGGGAGCGGGGAGGCATGCAGTCCTCGCCATGTGGAGGTGCACGCGGACCCCTGAGACGAGCTACCCGAAAGCTGCCCAAGGCTGGGGGGGCTGCCCTCGCGACGGCCGCCCAAGCCACCACCCCGGCTTTACAGCAAGGGCGAGCGCGGGGCAGGGAGCTGCCAAGTGGGAAGGCAACGACACGCACGCACCAAGGGAAAGGTGCCATCGCGGTGCGTGGGCACGGCCCTCCCGCGGGCAGAGTCCAACCTGCCTTTTCCGGGAAGGCCCCGGAGCTGCGCGTATTTGGGGACAGCACGCGGCACCGAGCGCCCCGGGGACGTGCTGACACCAGTGAAGCGCTCCCACGGAGGGCACCGGGCTGGCGAAGCGCACCCGGCTCCTCTTCCCAAGCCAGGCGGGGACCTCGGTGCCCGGCTGTCAGCGCCCCGCGCCCGGCAGGCTCGCCCGTCTCCAGCGCCGCACGTGGTGCCCGGGGACGGCAGGCGCAAGCATCCTTGCCCAGGAGGGGCTCGCCCCCAGCCGGGGTGGGGGAGGGGGTGCAGCTCCCTCACCATGGCACGCCTTTGCTGGCTGCACCCCCTGCCCCTGCGGCCCAGCGCGAGCCCCTGCACTGCACTGCTTGCACCCCCAGTGCACTGCACTGCCCCCCCGGCACTCACCCGTGTAGTGCACCACGCAGGTCTGGCCGCGCTTGGGGAAGGTCCGCCCTGCGGGAGAGACACGCACCGTGAGCCCCCGGCCCCACCCGCCGCGGGGTGGGTGCAGGGGCCGGGCCGGGCCGGGCCGGGCGCTCACC